TTGGTGCCAGTACTGGGATTTAACTCAGGGGCTTGAGCAACTGCTTAGTTTTTTGGCTTAAGGCCGGTATTCTACCACTTGAACCACATCTTCACTTTTAGCTTTTGGCTGGTTAATTGGAGATAAGTGTTGTCTTTTGGATTTGTCTGCCTGGGTTGCCTTCGAACCAGGATTCTTAGATCTTAGCCTCCAAAGTAGCTAGGATTACCGGTGTGAGCCACTGGTGGGTGGCTTCATGACTTTAGAATTTGTTAGGATTTTTGGTATCAAAATGAATTTCTATTTTCTGTAAGATGAATACTTTGATCAATAACTTAGCGAAATTGATATGTTTCCAAATGTGTCAGCTTCTATAAGAACTTGGGAGTTTTACATTCATATTTATATCACGCTTTCATTGCAAGACAACTATAGTCAAGAGAGAAGATGGCACATAAACTAACAGATGGCCACCCAGTACAACATAAGCGTAAGCCAAAGTGGATTTATGACTTTAGTTTCTAGTCTTTTATTTTTATCACTTATTAAAAATTTGAGATTTCTTCTGCCAATGAAAATAAAAAGTTCTTGGGAAACTTTCAAGAAAACAGGATTGTTAATAATACCACAAAATGAAGTGTTTTATAATATGTTAAAGCAGAGGTTTATTAATTTATTTTTTTTTTAGAAAAAGCCCATTTGGGAACTATCTTCCATTTCATCTATAGAAACAAGAGAACACTGCTGCCAGTTTGGGTTTCCATGAAATCCCAGTGGTACCACTTATAGGTAGCTGATCTAAAATGATAGTCCCACAGTTCTGAAGGTAATGTGGCACTGAAGGCTCCGCAGAAAAGGGAAGGTCACGAAAACCCCAAATCTCCAGGTGGTATCTGTGACTTCTGATGGGCTCTACACCTCCCTGTTCCTCCTACCCTCCCCTGGACTTTGAATGCTGCTGCTTTGGTGGCCTGGATTCCTCTCACAGCTTTGACACTTGCTGAAGAAATAAAAACACAGAACAAGAAACAGGGTTACTTCAGAGAAGTACTAACAGCTTTGCACTGGAAAACACCCAGGGAGTGACTGACTTGGGTCTGTGGAAACCACTGAGTTAGTCTTTGACATCCACAGTCTTCATGACGTATCCATTCCATGAATGTAGGTGCTATTGATCAAGATGCGTTGTACTCATAAACTGACATGAGGAATTGAAACCCTTTTGTACAATTACTTAAAGATAACAAGGAAAATGTAGCAGGAGCCTCCAAAATATGGGTGGTGACTTACGTTCAACATGTAAAAGGATAGTTATAATTATTGCTATTGTTAATATTATTATTACTGTACTGGGGATTGAACTCAGGGGAAGGCAGATGCTCTACTATTTGAGCCTCTCCTCTAGCCTCTTTTTGTGTTGGTTACTTTCAAGATAGGGTCTTGCTTTTTTTTAATGCTTGGACTGATTCAGGCTGTGATCTTTCTACTTGTGATCCTCCTGTGTCTCTGGAGATGACAGGCATGCATCATGTGCCCAGCTATTGTGCTTTCCCCATAGCTGGGGAAAACAGGTGTACAACATGGCACTCAGCCATTCGGTTGAGATGGAAGCTTGCAAACACTTGTGCCTGGGCTGGCCTGGAAACTTGATTCCTCCATCACTGCTTCCTAAGTAGCTAGGATTACGGGCTTGAGCAACTGCATTTAGCCTATGATGTAGAATTATTTTTAAAAAATGTTTTAAAGAAAGGTTTGATGAAAGCGGGTCAAGCCATTATAGCAAAGCCAGAATCATAGCTCGTAGGGAACACAATCTAATTTGCTGAAGTGATCCAGACACTCGGCATAAATTGTCTTGCTAAGTAGCCTTGATTATTAGTTTGGCTTTGTGTTTCTCTACTTGTGTCACACCATCTTTTTTTTGTTTTGTTTTGTTTTGGAGGTCTTGATTGAACTCGAAGCCTTGCACTTGCTAGGCAGGTGCTCTATCAATTAGGCCACACTTCTGGTCCTCTGGGACCACCTTTTTATATCACCTGCATGTAAGTACCCTTCACGGGAACGCGAAGTGTCAGTAGTGTTCTGTTTCCATAGATGAAATAGGACCACTTTTTGCTTGAGTCAGCCTGGACTGTTTGCCTCTTATTTATACATTCCTCTATAGCTAGGATGACAAGTGTCATCCCATACCCATTATCATTCCCCCCACCTTTTCAGTTGAAATGGGGTCTCTCAAACTGCTGTTTTCAGGCTGGCTCAGGCTAGGTTCTCAGCCTCTCAAGAAGCTGGGATAACAGGTGAGTGCCAGCATGCTTAATTTCTGCCATTTATTTATTTATTTATTTATTTTTTAATCCTAGTAACCAGCTCTAATGATTTTCCTTTTTTTCAAGTGTTGTTGGAGTTGTTGGGATGGATAACAATGAGCATATATGATTGATTTTTAAATGCACTGATATTGCACTAAGAAATATATTGCCAGCTGGGTGCTGGTAGCTCACATCTGGAGTGCTAGCTACTCAAGAGGCTGAGATCTGAGGATTGCAGTTCAAAGCTAGCCCAAACTCTCAACTCCACAATAAAATACGCAGAAAAGGCCAAAAGTGGTGGGTGCTTTGGCTCAAGTGGTAGAGTGCTAGCCTTGAACAGAAGCTAATTTGTCAAGAAAAGAAAAGAAACAAGAATTACATTGCCATTAAGTAAAATTATATATATTTATCCAGCTGCAGTTTTATTAAACTCTATGAATAACTGCAATGTAGCTGTTGCCAAAACTAAAGTGATTCAGGTGCATGAAAAGACAGAACTATGACAATACATTTAATTCTAGAAAATTAATAAAATAATCTAGTTGCTGGGTGCTGGTGGTTTATGCCTGTAATCTCAGGAGGCTAAGATCTGAGGATAACAGTTCAAAGCCAACCCAGGCAGGAAAGTCCATCTGATTCTTACCTCCAATTGACAACCTCCCCACCCCTCAAAAACAAAAGCCAGAAGTAGTGCTATAGCTCAAGTAGTTGAGTGCTAGTCTTGAGCAAAAGAAGCTCAGGGACAGTGCCCAGGCCCTGAGTTCAAGTCCCAGAACTAGTACAAAAAGGACAAAGACTATCTATCCTATTTATGAAATTCTCTCCATCATTTTTTTTCTAGCCAGATTCATACAAAAGAGAATAAACTAGTTGGTGTTCTGGACAATTCCTGGGGGAAACATCAATTATTTTTCGTAACTTTAAGTGTAAGATCAAGACTGCAGTCATCAGGTTCTAAGAATTCCCAATAGAATTAAAAATCCGGCCAACTGCTGGTTCCTTGATAAATAACAGTTTCTCCAATGGGTTTGTGCCGAAAGATCATTGTATTCAACTAAGTGTATGTGAGCCTTAGTGCTGAGGACTCGATGTGAATCCCACAAGAGCAAGAACAAAACTACAAACGGATAACTGTTAAGTCATTTCTGCAGTAGAGCCTTCTAGTTTATGAGTTCTACTCTAGAGAAACGACAAGAATTCCATTTATCACAAGAAATCTGGGCAGATGACGCCTCAGCTGCTGCTCACCCCCAAACATCTCGACCACTACCCCAGCACACTTGGATTCACCCACTTGTGCACACACAGATGGACTCTCCAATTGTCTTGAACAGCTCCTGGCTTCAGAGCTGTTGCTTGGGCACAGCTGTGGCCTAAGAGTTAGGAGGTGGGAAAACCGGCAAGCTCAGCTCCAGCTGCTGGCTGGGGGGTGGGGCTGGGGTTGGGGATAGGGGAGAGGGTTATTCGGTAGCACAATGCACCCTTGGAAACTCAGGATCCCAACAGCATTCTCAAAACCCTTCAGAGTACAAAATTGAACACTGAATTTGAGAATAGAAGAAAACCATTATCGTGTTGAAATGTAATACATGTTTTATAATACATTTTTTTTCAGAATGTGGGATGTGATGCTGTGGATGAAATTAATTTAGTTTGTTTCACCCAGAATGTTAAAAAAATGACACATAAAATTACAACAGAAAATATCTGAGTGTTTTATGTGGTAAGAAACAGAGGACTATTTTGTGCAATGGGTTTTAGTACTATGTATGTAGGGTGTGTGTACAAATGTTTTTCTTTCTATGAATTCTCTGTGTCTGTGTCTCAGCTCTACCTTATCTCTGTCTTTGTATCTATGTGTCTCTCTCTCTGTGAATCTGTTGGTCTGTCTGTCTCTCCTTCTCAGTGAGAACTGAACCCAGGGCATCATGCATGCTAGGCAAATACTCTGACTCTAAACCACCTTCCCATTCTTTACAAAGCACATATTTCAAATGAACACAGTAAGTATTCATCTTAGGACAAAGGAAAACAATTACGTTTATTTTTCTCTAATTAATAATCAACTTCTCTTTTATATTCACAAACACAATTACTCAGCTTTGTACATTGTACTGATGGTATTCAAACTATTTAAAAGTAATTTTCTTTTCATTTTCCATGGGTACCATACACAATTAACATTTGTTGACATTATTTTCTATGAATGAATTCTTATGCCTCTTGAATTTGGCTATTATAAAATAATAACAGATGCAAAGGCTCCTGATTTTCAGTTTAGCATTCTCTAATGACTTATCTCCATGGCAAAGATATGACAATTCCCCTTTATGACACACCAATCTATTACAAAACTATCTTATTTGAAATGGATAAAAAATAATTCCAATTAGTCTACAGAAACACCCACACATCCACATTTCCTCTTCCTTATTAAAACCCTTGGAAAGTTTATGGATCCTTTTCTCAAAATCCATAATGTTGTAAGCAGAGGAAAAAAATAATTCATCAACTTAGTTGCATCTTGCTCTATGCATTTAAATGCTCCCACATTTCCCCATGACAAATGATAAGGGTTTCTCATGTACATTTTATTCTATCCTTTCCTTGAGGTAAATTCTAAGGTATGATACTCTAGTCCACAGCTATGCAAGTTTTTATGAAATTGTTATGGCCTTTCCATGTTCAGGTAGAAGAAGGCCTTGTACTCACTGTCTTGCTCCAGGTAAGGCCTGTGGTATGGTGTTCCTTGATGTAAGCCTGAAGCTCACTCCAAATGTTCAAATATGACTTCACCCAGTCCACGTGGCGTAAATCGCTTTGTTACCAAAGAAAATGGGAATGGAGTTAGGATCTCAATTAAAATTTATTTGCTTATTTATTTTTGGCAGAACTGAGGTTTGAACTCAAGAACTCATGCTTGCTAGGCTGGTTATCTACTACTTGAGCCACATACCCAACCCTTCTGATACTGAATGACAGCATTTGGCTATGGTTGGCACAACAGCTTCAGTTTTTCAGCTTTTGGGAGCACTGAGAACAGGACTTTCATTAAAGTTCCCTCAGGACACAGACAGTCTTGAAGAGTAAAGAGGCAACTGAAAACCCTGGAATGAATCTACAACTTCATCTCTAACATCGTTCTTCCTAATGGAAAAATTATGGCTGCTATTTTTTTAAATGTTATTTTTTTAAACCTCTTTATTATGGTACAATTCACATTCCACTCAATTCACACATTGCAAAGGTACAATTCAACACTTTAGCTTAACAAAGTTGAACAAACCACTCTATCATTAATTTTAGAACGTTTTCATCAAATTTATTTGCAGTGTCACCTCAGTTTCCCTAAATTGCTCCAGCCCTTGGCATGTGCTCACTGCCTACTTTTTGTCTATGTAGAATGGACTATCTTGAATTTCATATAAATGGAACTATAGGCTGTCTACTGTGGTTATTTTTCTCTCCCACCCCTCCACTTACTGTTGTGTTTCTAAGTTCCATGCATATTGACACGTGCTAATACTTCATTCTTAGACCACTTTTTTGAATATTTTTATTCACTCTAAGTAGCTGTACAAAGCAGTTTATGAATACAGTGCGCCTTGATCAATGTTACTCATTTCAACATTCTCACTCGTTTTGTCCATTGACTAGCTGATGATAAGCTTTTGTCTATTATAAACAATGCTGCTATGAACTCATGTATGAGCTTTTGGGTGAGCAAATGCTTTTGTTTCTTTTGGATATTTACCTAGGAGTGAAACTTCAGAATGTGGCTTTGTTCATGGCAAAAAAAAAAAATGGTTCATAGTTATATTTTTTAAAAATAAGTGGTAGAAGCATGGATATTCTCTGTATTGTAATTCTTTCTACCATACATATGTTTTGTAAATATGCTTTATCTACTAAGTATTTGAATATGCACCAAGTTGAAACTATAGTAGGCATTTGTGTCTGATCTCTCTCTATTTTTCAATACTTCGTATAAAGTTTGTCTTATGTTGCTGCGGATCATTGTCTACTCATTTTTAAGAGGTGATTTGAGGCAATAATGCAGGCAGTTCAGGTTTCTAATTTCCTTCCATCTGAATAGTAGGAAACACTGTTGAGACATCCTTAGGAGCTCTTGTATTTGTCAAGGATGGTCACTTCTGATGAGGTCACGTAAGAACGCAGATGGGGAACCACTCTTGAGCCCAGAGCTAAGGGAAGGGGCATCATTGTTGCTGTTATTTTCCCCCAACTCTTCCCTTAGTTACCAGGCCCTAGACCTAGCACATTTATCCAGCTCTTTACAGGGTAAATAAAGCATAATCCTATCACAGAGTGAGAGCAATCTCATGATACTCCTTAAGTAGTTTAAGAGATACTTTCCTGGATGTCTCTTCACTCTGGCCTGTCTGCATTTGGTCCCGTTTTCCTTTCTAATCCCACGTTATCTCTGTCTAGGCTCTGTTATCTGTGCTGTATAAGGCAAGGTCCTTTCTCAAGCAAATCATCATGGTTCAGATTCACTTGTACTTTAACAGCCCTTTGCATAGGCACTCTCCTTACCTTTCTCTCTCTGTCTACCCGAATCCCATTTCATTTTAACTGGCTTCCCTCTCACCATCTGCTTTATTGGCCTAGCTCACCTCTGTTCTGAATTTATACTTTATTTTCTGGATTCTTTTAATGCACCAATTAATTCTCCCTTGATCAATGTGAAAGTTTGCTCTAGTCCATCACAAAGTGCTCCCATTATTACAGAGATACATAACATAGCAACATGTATTCAAGTGGGGCAGATTATCCATTAAAAGAGAATCAAGGCAGTCTTTTTTCTTTTTTGGTTCCAATGGGAGGGCTTGAACTCAGGGGCTGAGCACTGTCCCTTAGCTTTTTCACTCAGGACTGAAGCTCCCCTAAGAATATACTCCTTCGGTCTCACCGCGTGAATGTTTAGAGTAGAGGATCACAAGGGCTCAATAACATGCATATAATCATATAAATGATGCTTATTGGATGAACTCCAAGGAATGGAAACAAGAGGTTTTTTATTTACTCGTGTGTTTTTGTTTTCCCCTTTTGTCACTGTTTTTGGTCTCTGTACCTTTTGTCTGATTTGGGGGGAGGGCAAAGGGAAGCACAGAAATGGTGAGACAAAGGGCAATGAATTCAACAATGATACTCACTATATTGAAAATGAGCTACACGACTTGTGAGGAGGGGGTTTGGCAGGGAAAAACTGGGAGAAAAACGAGGGAAGAGGAAACTCTGTTCAAGAAGAAACACGCCTGACTTATGTAACTGTAACCCCTCTGGATATCACCTTTGCAAAAAATTTTTTTTAAAGACTGAAGCTCTGCCCCTGGACCCACCCTTTTACTCCAGTTTCTTGGTGGTTAATTGGAGATAAGAGTCTCATGGATCTTACTCCCTGGGCTGGCTTCAAACTGCAATCCTCAGATCTCAGCCTCCTGAGCTGCTAGGATTACAGGCATGAACCACTAGTGCCTGGCTTAAGGCAGACTTTCTAAAACAGATATAGATAATGGATGTTATTTCCCATTTGGCTTTTCCTGCGAAGATGAGATTTTTCTTTCAAGGTAAAACAGTACACCAGTGAAAAGCCTTGGAAAGAAATCAGCAATTAAATGAAGTTTTACGTTAGCAAATGGGCAACAAGTGATCCACTGACCATACAGCTAGTGAAAGAAGGTACGTACCTGTGTTTGTAGTCCTTTAAGACCCTGTTAGTGTAAAAGGTAGCAGCATCGTTCATCTCCTTGACATAAGGGCCGGGTTTGGGGGACTGAGAAAACAGGACCATCACCCAAGCATAGAAGGGGAAAAAAAGGAGAAGAAATAAAATACTTTGAAGAAGAAGAAAACGATAAAGACATGGAGAAAAGAGGAGGTGGAGCGTGGTCTGGAAAGGTTGGTGAAACACTCTCACACCTCAGACTAGAAAGCATTGGATTTCAACAAGGTAAGGAGAAGCACTACATCCAGCCTAGGAGAGCATCAGACTGTGGATGACAGAGACTGAAGGTGGCCCCCAACCCCCCAGTACTCTGACCATGTGCAAGGTGAAGGGCAGCATGCATCCACACTCACCACGGCTATCCATCCTAGGGCAGGGATGCTTTCGCTGACAGCTGAAAGATGATTAAACATGTTACTCCCCCGGTTCCTCTCTCGGAAAGTCTGGATTTCCTGAATCTTCTCTGAAATGGGTTTCAGTAGTGTAGCCACCTCGTTCTGCAAGGAAACACGGAACGGTGTTACAGGAACAGACAGATGCACAGGCCCTTGGTCCCTATAGAGTACCCAGAGCTTGCCATTTGTCAGGGGTGTAAAAATAAAAATGCACAAGAGCATCCTTCAGAATAGAATGGAGTTTTTCTTTGCTATGGGAATCCAGCCAGCCCTTCATAGGTACAGGTTCTATGCCGGTGGATTTAACCCACTGTGGACCAGAAGTACCCGAAGCTCACCTTAGTTATAGATTTGGTACATGTGATTTCAAAATTTCAAAAACAGAAATTTTAAATTCTTATACCTGTATCCCCATAGCTCAGTGGATGCAGAGATGCTGTCAGTTGAAAGTCTTTGGGTGATCTGCTGTTTTCTTGACCTTAGTTGGGTGAGAATCTGCCTCCCAACAAACAAATGGTGCCCCCAACGCAAGGTAAAAGTAAATGTGCTTAACTGATATAATGATGTAAAACTTTAAGACTGGTTGACAGGCAGTGAGTCCTTAGTGGAGTCAGGTAGCATTATGGGAAACGTGAAGCAAGCCTTCACTGAATGCTACTGTATCCTGAGCATGAGCAGAATTCCTCAGCTGTGGTCTCCTAGGGACCATATACCTGTGGATACTATGATTCTACTTTGCAAGCTAGAAGCTAGTGGCTCACACTTATAATCCTAATAGTTCAGGAGGCTGAGATCTGAGGATTATTGTTCAAAGCCAGCCCAGGAAGGAAAGTCCATGAGACTCTTATCTCCAATAAACCACCAAAAAGTGGGAAGTAGAGCTGTGGCTCAAGTGGAAGAGTGCTAGCTAGCCTTGAGCAAAAAAGCTCAGGGACAGTGGCTAGGCCCCAAGTTCAAGCCCCAACATACACACACACACACACACACACACACACACACACACACACGCAAGCGCACGCACACACACACATACACACATGCACATACAAGCACACATATACCCAGGCACATACCCACTGCATCTGAACTGAAAATATTAGATTCTTTTCTTCTTGTCATTATTCCATAATCAGAATAGTATTATTTATATAGCCTTTATACTTTATTAGGAATATAGCCTGAACATTTATTCTTTCTAAGCTAGAGACAATTTAAAGTATACCAGAAGCTGTGTGGGGATTACAGGCAAACAAAGCCATCTTATATAATGACTTACAGCAGCTGACTGTTGGTGTTTGTGAGAAGGACTCAACCAACCTCCCTCAGATACAGAGAGCCAACTCTACTGCATTTTCATCCTCTGAATTATGAAAATTACAGATATACAAAACATCCCAGCAGTGTGGTACAACCCTTTGTTGGGAAGAAAACTGCAAGAAACACAGTGACATTGCATGTGGGTCTGTTATATTCTCTAATGGACTACGGACTACAAGGGTTACGGCTATAACAACATAGGTGTTAAGTTGGGATAAGAAGTGAGGTAAAAGATGTCTTCCTGTTCCGGTGAGAATGGAAAGGAGAGAAAATCCTCAGTTTGACAGTAGTTACCTTAATCCAAATGGAAACAAGGAACTCTTTCACAGAGGCTCTCTGAACAAGTGATAGCCTCTCAAATTTATAGTGATTTTTGTCGGGTTTAAGTTTCTACATCATCCCCACTCTGCCAGGCCTATGGCCGACTGCTACTCACGCTAATGTCTGATTAATGCCATCAGTGACTTCTCTACTTATATAAAAAAGTGACTTCCAAAATTAGGCTAGTTGAGTTATGAAATATCATAGTGATAGGTGTTCTGCTATTCAAGCAGTATTCAGCTGCTTTGAGCACCTCCTCATCCATGCCCTTGGCTGTCTCTGCTTTTCTTAAGTGCTGACAGCAGATACCAAGACTGTTTATCTGATTTGTGTGTACATGCTTTAGAGAAACAGCCAAGGTCCCAAACATCAGCTTTTCAAGAGTGGCTAAAAAGCTTTAAGCAGTATTTAAGTCCTTGGTTGCAAGAAGGAAAATGGAAAAGCTCTTTGTAGCTATTTTTTTCTTTATGTCTCACCTCTCCCTGCCTCTTGCTGGTCCTGGGGCTTAAACTCTGGGCCTGGGCACTGTCTCTTAGCTTCTTTTGCTCAAGGTGAGTGTTCTACCACTTAAGCCATAGACCTACTTCTGGCTTTCTTGAGTAGTTTATTAGAGGTAAGAGGCTCACTGACTTTCCTACTTGTGCTGGCTTCGAACCACAATCCTCAGATCTCAGCCTCCTGAATAGCTAGGATTATAAGTGTGAGCCACTGGTGCCTGGCTCTTTTTTTATTTCTTTAACCAAAACTTCAGAGCAATGGGCCAGATGCCAATGGCTAACACTTGTAATTCTAGGTACTCAGGAGGCTGAGATCTGATGGAATGGAGCTTAGAGCCAGGTTTAGCAAAAAAAAAAAGTCTACAAGACTCTAACTCTAAACAAGAATAACAAACAAGACGAAGTGTGACTCACATGGTAGAGTGCCAGGTTAGCAAGTATAAAGCCCTGAGTTCAGCCCTGGTACTGCCAAAAAGATATTTCAGGACAATGGTTTCTAACATTGGGCTGCATATTGGAACCACCTAAAAGCTTTAATAGACACAATTTAGTCCAGAAATTCTCTTAATTGGGAGGTGGCCTGCATAGGGATGGAAAGATTGGAAATGCTCCTTAGGTGATTATAATCACAGTATATACATGGCATAGACCTGTAAGGTGTTCTAGGGACAGAAAACCATTAGGGAAGAAATGTCAAGCTTCAGTAGATTTGAGTAACTTCTAATTTTCCTTGGATGTTTTATATGTCCCTAAGGATATGTTGCATTTGAGGGCTTCACTTTATCTTGGCTTACATCTCACTATGGCTACCTAATTCTTATGGAGCCTTAAAAATCAGCTATATTTGATCCCTGGTTTTCTCAGAGATCGTAACACCTTCAGCCTACAGACTGCAAGAGATCAAGTTGCAAACTTCTGGTGCATGGGAACTACAATAAATGGAAGTGGCTATTATTATTGCTGTCACACAATGAACTCAAAGCAGAAGCCAGCAGGATGCACTGCCTGATAATATGGAGTATGCATTTGCTTTAAAAAATGGCTGAATAAGGCCGGGAGCTGGTGGCTCATGCCTGCAGTCCTAGCTACTCAGGAGGCTGAGATCTGAAGATCGCAGTTCATAGCCAGCCCAGGCAGGAAAATCCCTGAGACTCAATAAATGACCAGAAAACTAGAAGTGGCACTGTGGTTCAAGCAGTAGAGTATTGGCTTTGAGCTGAAGAGCTCAGGGACAGCACCCAGGCCCAGAGTTCAAGCCCCACAATCAATAAAAAAAGGCTGTATATCTGGGATATACTGTATATCTGTATATCTGGGATTCAAACATATATCGCAATAGATGCAAAGGAGGTGGGGATTACAGGAATCTAAATTGGGTCATCTAGTTCAGCTTTTGACAGACCCAATCGAGCAGGTCACATATAGTATTTACAAAATAAATAAATAAAATGTGATAAAACAGAACAGAAAATATCACAGGGAATTCATATGAGACAAGGGTGGCTATTTTAGGAATTATTATGCACTATGGTGTGTGTGTATGGGTGTGTATTAGGCTGCAAAGTAAAGTGTATATCTTATTATGGATCTTAATTTAAAAGTTTGAAAAAGCATGGATCTAGTCTAATTCTGCCATTTTATCTGTGTGGATATAAGCTCAGTGAGGTTAATCTTGTAAGATCAGCTAGCAAGATGGTGGAGCTGGAGCTAGCCCCTCAGTCTTCAGGGAGGCCTAGAGGCCTAATTCTATTCAGTATTATTGAGAACTGAGAAAAACACAATTGTCTGTCTATACACAGGCTTCTCCTCAGCCAAGAAGACTAGGAAAAGGTATTGTGAAGAGATGAAGAACTCAGGCTCTAGATGAGACTATTTACATTTAAGTCTTTGCTCTACATGTGCTCTGCTCCAGGACATCACACAAATGATACACTTGTCCATGAGATCATGGGATTCCATGATCTCATCTGCAAAATGGGGCTGACCATGACACCCACTTCATAGGGAAGTTTGGAGTGGAATTTCAATTCTTCCACATGGAAGAAGGGGACACTCAAAAATGTTTGTTGTGGAAGCTAGCCTGTTCTTGTGGAAAGTGAATGAATACCTTTTTCTCTTCTGGAACTCTAGAGCAAATTGTATACAAACTGAATTTTATGACTTCAGATCCATATGTTGAAGCCTTAACTCCCAGGAGCTCAGAATGTAACTGCATCTTTAAAGAGGTAATAAGTTAAAATGGGAGCCATTTGAGTAGGCTTCAAGCCAACATATTTGGACATGGATATCTGCCAGAGGGAAGGTGCTGTGAAGAAGAGAAAGGAAAGGTAACAGGAAAGACCAGCCCGTTGACACATTGGTCTTGAACTTCCAGCTTCCATCACAGAGAGAAAAAATAAAGTACCATTGTTTATAGCACCTGGTCTGTGGCATTTTCTTATAGCAGCCTGAACAAAGTAATACTTAACTAAGGGTCTAATGGCCACTCTGGGAAAAGAAACAAATACTTCAGCCCCAAACACAACTATTCCGCCTTGGTTCATCAATGGTTGCTACGTCATTTTAAATACTTGCTTGAAATCTTACTCTTTAGAAAGCAAACATCTTTTTTTCCTCTTCAAGAGATTCCTCTCAGTCCAATCAAAAGGGTGACACTGGCTGCCATGGAAAAGCAGCTGATTCTCAGTTATGGTAGAACTCCTACAAAGCATGCTGCTTCCAGCAATTTGAAAACCTCCGTAAGTTTGACGCAATGACATCTTTGAGAAAAGACAGAATGTCCTCAATTGTTGAACCACACCTGGCCCATTGCCCCCAAGGGAAAACGAACCAGAAATGTATATTTACAATGTTAGAAAGATTTATGAAGGCCATCTTTGTTTATCTCTCACTTCCCAAGAACGAAGTCTAAAGTCGGAGGAGACACAGTTATCCTGGAAGGTATTTTATATTGGCTATCTGGTGAAA